TATATATATAAAACTACCGTAATATGCAAGAACAATTTTTGCTTTCAATCATTGAATCGCTATGAACTGAAAATGCACTTTCCTATGCAAGGTCGGCTCATATTGCGCGCAATGGTTATGAGCAGGGAACAGTGAATTTCCACTTTCATTTTATTTAGCAGAAAATGTGGTTATTTTCATTTTTTTTTTTAATCACGAACATTCATTATTTTATTACTGATTCTGTTGTAATCTCTTGTAAATTAATTTAAATAAAAATTTAAAGCCCCATTCCCGGCAAGATTTATAAACATAATACGAAACTGCTAATTTAACTGAATTTAGACATTCCTAAACATAAAAAATGTAAAATAAGACTGAAATTTGATTTTTTTTTTTCCGTTGCTAGTATTGACACTTGTGAAATATAATATTTTATAGGATTTATTTCAAATCTTTTAAAAAATGATTCTGACCGCAATTTTGACAATTAAACAAACATATCTCAGGCCTACTCGATCGATCGCAGTGTGCGAGATGTGAAGTACAAAAACCAATTTCATTAGAGAGGGCGCATAAAGTATACATAAAAGCGAGAGCATTCACACCGGATGCGATCTACAACCTCTGAATTTGCCTGGTTACGAAGAATTCATCGAGAAAATGGTAATCTTCCTTGAGAAATAGTCTCTATTTCTCTGTTTTTTATTCTTTTGCGTAAAACTTAAATGTATGCCAATATTTTTCCATTGTTTATAATAAATAGAGTAATGCATATTCATTTTTTCTATAAAAAAAAATCTTTTTTTAGTGAAATTTTGCTGGGAATGGGGCTTTAATAAGAAACTTTTCCGGTTTATTTTTATTGTGTTTGTTGTGATGGGGTAGGAGGATGTACGCGTATCTTATGTGCGTTGGCAAAATACGCGTGCACATAACTATGACAACATTGTTTCACTTCCATAAAAGCAAAACTATCAAAGGAAAAATGTCACTAGATAAGGGAAAGGTTGAATACACTCCAGTTATGTTTATAGCCATGATTTTGGAACGTTTGATGTCACTGTCTGCCGTGGTTATGATAATTCTAAAGTAGTGTTAGTAGTGATGAGTAACAATAGCGTTCTAAATGGAAATCAGGTGAAGGTAGACGAATCTGGGGTTTTGACGAATACAAAATCACAGCAGTACGACCCTAGATTGCAGTCCTACTACAACTCAGCTATGCACGTAAGAAATTATCGGGAAATTCGTAAATATTTTGAACAAGAGAGGTAAGAATATTATTTGTACTACAATCAGTTATCAAATGCTGTATCGTAAGTTAGGCCAACATTTTATATAAATGTTGCTACGTTTGTAATACACTGTTTCATATAGTTCATAGTGACATGTTTAGTAGTATATTGTTAAATTTGTATTTGGCCTAATAAAAATATTAAAGCACCAACGTATATTGAAAATTAAGCAAGTTAAAAATAAAGTACGCAAAATCAAAATTTCCCTCAAGAACTGAGAAAATGCTGTTGATGTCTTCCTGTTAATGCCAGAAGGACCAATAGTGTTGTTGAACATGTTTATGTAATTTCTTGTTTACAGTAAATCGAAAGTGAAGAGACTGGATTCAGTAAAAACCTTATCCCGTAAAATGAGGGCGTTACTTCATCTGTCCCGCAAGTTGACTGACAGTCGTAGTGTTCAGCCTTGTGATATCAAAAGATTGGATGACATTGTTAAAAATGTAGTTCGAAGCGTGCATGCTAAATTGAAGTCAACACAAAATGCTATGCTAATCAATAGAGAGTTATATGAACAGACAGAGATATTAAAGAAAACATTAAATATATTTTGTGTGGAGGTTATTTGTTCCAACGAAATAAGAATGAAAGAGTAGATTTAGCACTGATAGTCCTATTCAATACTTGAGGACTAACGAAAGAGCTTCCACAAGTGCTCAACGAGAAGACTGTCGCAAAGAAAAACTTAATAGTCAAACTTTCATTGAAGACGATAGATACAGAGACTTAAGGTCTTTTTCATACCTCAGATCAGAAATCACTAACCTGAAGGAAGATCTAGCAAAAATGGAATTATCGCATACTATCTGTACAAACAAGACACGTCAATCATTTTGGCGCGCATTGTGTAACCCATGGAAACGGAATAATGACAAAGGTAAACTCAGTAAACAGTCAAAGAATAGGCCTACTACCAGAATTTCCATAGACATAGATGGTGCCATCCAAAATATTATAAAATATGGTGCTACTTCTCCGGAAGAAACTCACCTTATGAGTGTCATTGATGCCAGTGTTTGGGATGAAGTGACCCGGATGAGAAGGCAGAATTTAGAGTCTAAACAAATTGTACATGAATTACTCAATGAAATCGATAAGCAAGAAAAAAACCTTCGTTCCAAGGATTCAGAGTTGAATGGAGCTCGAGAACATATTGGCAGTCTCATACAGAAGTCAAAAAGTGAGGTGAATAAACTTGTGACAGAGAGAGAAAAGAAACATAATATGCATTTGGTGAAATTAGATCAAGATCGTTGCAGATTACAAGAAGATAAATCTTTGATGAGTATAGAGCTAGAGAGACTTCGTCAGACAAACCGTCGCCTGTTAAACGAAGTATGTTGTTTACGTCATAGTAACAGAGAATTGGAACAGGTTATGGAAAAGGGGCACGATCAGCGCCTTCAAACAGAAGCGCGCCCGGTGAGAGGAGCGCAATTAAAAGGTTTTTATGGGTCTGGGCAGTTCACACCTGGATTGTATCTGCGACAGGTGGCCAATATATCGAGTCCGGCACTTGTTACAAAAGATAATATGATGCGTTCTAGCCAATATAATTTGTCAACATGTGCAAATTTTGATGACTCAGAGGAGGACAGTGTAAGCAGCTGTAATTCGATTAATGCAGACACAAACCACGATGAATCTGATGGACACGGGCACCTAACAAATTAAAAACATGCAATCAAAGATTTATCATCTGAAAGTTATGAAGCGTCTCTAACGTAAATAAAAAAGCATTTAGCGTAGACATGTGTTTGTTTTTCTATACAATGTTTCTCTTCACTTGTTTTCATCACAAATAGATCATAGTTTCGCAACCTATACAACAACGATAACAATATTATACAGTATACGATTACCATAAATCCGAGAAATATTCTCGAATAAGCGCCACACCAAACGTGTTTTTTTTTTTTTTTTTCGCTCGTGCCGCTCTCGAATATGCGGCGTTTATTCGAGATTATTCTATTTTGAATAAGCGGCGCTTAATCGAGAGTACTGTGTGTGATGTGACACTTTGAGAAACAGGATTTTAAATACAATAATAATAATAATAATAATAATAATAATAATAATAATAATAATAATAATAATAATAATAATAATGCTTTATTTGAAAAAAAAAACTACACCTTTCCATCGGCGGCACACGTCACGCGTCAATTGACGGTGCGTTATTGAAGAAAACATTTAAAGCAGTAGAGAGAAACACAGCAATGTACAATACGGTGATTCAAAATGAACGATAACATTTTTGAAAAGTACTCATTAGTCAAACACCGTTTTTTTTTACAATAAAAAACGAAGTTAACATAAACGAATGTTCATCAAAAATTAGGTTTTACAATGTGTAATATCTTTCTCTGTTGCCATGATATTTTTAAATACGAGATAGAAAGATCGTTCATAAATTTACTAGTTTCCAAGAAGTATATCCATTTTAGTGTTACAATCTCCACTCATGAATAAGTTTCATAAACATAAAATGTATGATATCCTCCCATAGAGGTATAATAAGAATACTAGAGCGCTAACCGCAATGTATTCGATGTTCGAAATACGCAGAACTGTGTGTGTGTACCATCCAAGATGGCTGCCATAGATTCAGCCTATCAAATTTCGCCTAAGCGCCGTCGTTTGCAATTGCGCCCTCAATTTACACAGAACGTTCAGTACATCGCGTTTGAAACTCGAGCGTTGCGGTGTATGGGCGTAATCTACACGATTTTAATTTTCATTTCTTGGTACTTTATTGTTGAATAGGATGCTCCACTTGGCCTCGTTTTGGCTAC